GCAGTCGTGCAGTCGTGCAGTCGTGCAGTCGTGCAGTCGTGCAGTCGTGCAGTCGTGCAGTCGTGCAGTCGTGCAGTCGTGCAGTCGTGCAGTCGGGCCTTCCAGATGCCAGTATCTGTTTGCTGATGTTTGGTCTCTGCGTGACATGGTTTGTCTTGTAGATGTCTGGCTCCGGTATGTTTCACATCGGCAGGCTGAGCACCGTGGACCTGGAGGAACCCATCACAGAGCAGGAGGTAATCGTGGCTTCTGACACTGGGGTGCTCAGATGGTTCCCTCTTGCTTCACCTCTTGACTGTCATCTCTCTTGTCTCGCCGGTTTTGCACATCTTGTTGTCTGTGGGACGTCTTTCTGTCTAGGCCCCGCTTGTGTCTCCCAGTAGAATTTTATTCCTTAACTGTTTGTGCTTCTCCTCGACACCTTGACAGAGACTTGGTGGCCTTGCTTCCCGGCTGGTCTCACAAAAGTGTTTCTGAAATCGGTCCGTCGCAACGCAGAAGGGACTGTTGGGATTAGTGGCAGACAAGAGTGGAGCGAAGGCTGTTTTTCCAGCGTTTTTGTGGTTTTCACTGCTGCGGAAAGCATGCAGACTGTAGGAATCTGTCCAGTCCACCTGAGGCCTGTGCTTTGGGCTGGCTGGGAGTGGGTCTCCAGTTCACTTACAGCTGCTAAACACTTGAGTGACTTGTGCGATATACAGTATGAATATACACGGTAACCTTCCTGTTGTGTCAGGAGCTGGGAGTGGGGTAGCTGGTAGAGACCTCCTGAGAAGGGAACAGTGTGACAGGCTGCCCCCCTTGGACCTGCAGACTGTGTCGAAGCTCAGATAGGTGCTAGTTTTAGAAGTGCAATCGAGGAATCTTATCAGGGGAAGCTCCGTTTCTGCTCATCCACTGGGGTTGTGCTTTGCTTTCGCTTTTCGCCTTGTGTGGAAGAGAAGAGTTCTGGGAAGATTCTGAATTTTCCACGTGGTTCAAGGATCTTGACCTTTCTGTGTACCTTTCTCCTGTTATGGGCATTCTTCTGCATTACTCAAACCTATATTGTTAATTTCATATTCGTGTTTCTCCATCATCTGAATGTTCTTTTCCTCTCTTCCTGTGCAGGATGCGTTACTCAACTGGCCCAAAGAAATACCTCACAACGAAAAGCTCCTTTCGCTCAAATACGAGGTAATCGGAACTTTTCTCTGCCTCGTTCAGTCTTTTTGGATCACACTCATGCTTAGCAGTACCTTTTCTGTCTTTCCTCTGTATATGTGCCCTACACGGGTTACGAGACCTCTGTCAAAAGAGCAGAAATGAAACATTTTCCCCCCGTTGGTGAAAGTGTGGCGACTGCGATCCGCTCCTTTCTTTTTATATCAGTGAGGCCCCAGAGACACAGATGTGTCGTATGAGCTGGGTCATTTTTAAGCTCCAACTGACTTGCATTCTTGGGGCTGGCAGGGAGGTTGGGTTTAACAAATTGATCTTTTTTGTTTCAGAGCCTTGATTATGACAACAGTGAGAACCAGCTGTTTTTGGAAGAAGAGCGACGCATGAGCTTCGTGGTAAATTAAACTGAGGGCTGTGTGGAAATGAGTTCAACACAATGAACACATGGGTTCATTTTGGAGTTCGCACAAGTGTGTGTTTGAGCTTGGAAGTCTAAAAAACATTTGCAATTATGGCATAATCGTGCCACTAGATCATTTTATCGATCGTTTGATTATTTTTAGTTTTCATAAGGTGAAATTAGAATAATTGTAATGCACATAGACTTCTGCCAGTTTAAATGCCTTTTGTCCAAATTCTTGACACTTTGAATCAGGGAAACTCCAGTCCTGCACTGCCACATTGTCCTCTGGTCTTAATTCATTTTTATAATTGTAGCACGACTTCTTATCCTTAATTAATCATGGAATTGATCATTTCATAACTAGTCCTAAGAAGAAAATATCACCCATTGTATGTGTATGGTCTGATCTGTGGGCTGCTTGAAAAAATACTTGCAAGAAAGGCAGGGATAGTTCCTTTGTGTTGCATCAAGTAACCTCATGCCAGGCTTGTCAAAATAATGCGCCACGCTGATGGGTAATGGGGTCCGCTTGCTTCCTGCGCAGGGCTTCCGGTGTGTGGAGATCAAGAGGTGGGTGGTGTGTGCCTTGATCGGCATCCTGACGGGACTCATCGCCTGCTTCATAGACATCGTGGTGGAGAACCTGGCTGGGGTGAAGTATAGTGTGGTCAAGCACAGTATCCTCTTGCGCTGTACAGGGACAAGGCCGTACAGAGGCATTTTATCCCCGATGGACAAGAGCCGTTCCCAGTACAGATAGATTGGGCGGAGCGGTGGCTCTGTGGCTAAGGATCTGCGTCTGTGACTGGAAGGTTGCCGGTTCAAATCCCGCGGCCGGCAGAGGAATCCGTACAATGGCAGACTCTGCACTCTGACCCCAAGCTTCTCTCCCTGTCTGTGTCTCCTTGGAGAAAAGCTGGGGTATGCGAAAAGGTGAATTCCTAATGCAAGAAATTGTATAGGGCTAATAAAGAAACATTACATTATTATTATTACAAATAGTTTTCTCGACCAGCCGCACAAAATGCAGAAAATAAACTGGCCTGATTGGCTAGGTATTTTAGATCGGCCCTTCAGAGGCACTTGAAGCTGTTAACTGAGAGTATTGCAGCAACGACTGCAGAGGTGCAAAGGGCACCAAGACCTTTCAGAACCTTGGGACTGACTAAACAGTGAACTTGACTGAACAGTGTTTTTTTTTTCCATAGCTCCATAATCCAGGTTGCCACTGTAAAAGTTGAATGGTAAGAAGGAAGGGGAGGTGCTGTGTGTTATGGTTAAATGGCTTAGATGGTGATTATTAGGAGCCGTTTATTGCAGTGAGAAAAAAGGAATAAATTGGACGCAGTGGCAAAAAGCTCTGAAAGTCATTTTCAGAATGTCCGAAAGTTTGTAAATGAGAGGAGGCCTTTCCATTTCAGTTTGCTTGCCTGCTAGTAGCTAACTGATTCAGGGATCTCGCCCAGCCGTGTCTGTAGAAGAAGTGAGGGTGTCGGCTTCGTCAACACGACCGGGCAGCCTGTTCCAAACTTCCTCAGCCCTCTGTGTGAAGAATTGTGCCACTTGTTCTCAGTTTTCTGTGTACTTCCACGTGGTCTGCATGAGCTGAATCTTAGAAATGCTTCTCTTTGTGGTCAAATTTCCTTCTTGGAATGTTACATTAGCCGTTTCCTCCATCGTGTTTCGTGGTACAGTCTTTCTCTTAACAAACCTTCCAGGCATTGAGAATTTCACTGAAGGAGGGGGTCTCTCGATATCCCTGCTTCTGTGGGCAGCACTGAACTCGGCCTTCATCATGGTCGGCTCCTGTATAGTGGCCTATTTTGAGGTAAAGTTGATTTACATTATACCCCTTAAGAAAGACTCATTAATAGCCTTTATTATTATGTTCTTATTTTTTAAATCCCGGTTCCTCTGGCCGGGAGGTGCAACACATCGCTGTGACAGTGTTAAGGCTTGCACGTCCTCCTCAGTAGCTCACACCCCTCGTGTCCACACGCCAGTGCGCAGGAGGGGCAGCGGTACTGTGGGGACTGGGGTCGCCCTCACCAGACACCGAGCTGTAAGCGTGCCCTTGTTTCTCAGCCCATAGCAGCCGGCAGCGGGATCCCTCAGATCAAGTGCTACCTCAACGGAGTCAAGGTTCCCCGGGTGGTACGGCTCAAGGTAATATTAATTCTGATCCGCTGCGCCCAGCCTCTGGTGCGTCCAGCCGGAGTATTGGGAAAACACGCGCCTTCCGCCTGGCCGGCTCTGCTTGGGATTGGGATCATGAACAAAAGGAGAGCAATGATTAGAACAGAGGTTATCATTGCAGTGCATGCAAGTATCACAACACATTCTGCTGTTTATGAGACTGTGACATGCTGTAAAATCGAAATAGTACAATGGCAAGGAAAAACTGAATAGTATTTGAACTAAATATGAAAATGGCAAAGTGCCAATGAGGGCTGGAAACAAACCATATGTTAATTTTAGGGGAAAAAACAACTGTTTTACAGCTCTCGTGGGGCTTTTCAAATGTGGGAATGGCACAGTGGGTCCAGGAGAGTAGTACAGAATATTTATTGCCTCGCTGCAGTCGGAGGCCCACCTCTCCCTCTCTGGTTTATCCTCCAGGGTTAGTGAGCTCCTCCGGTTTACCCACAGGAAGGTGAACTGGCGCTTGATGCTCTGTTAATGAACTCTGCTTGCCTTTCAGACCCTGGTTGTTAAAGTATGTGGAGTGATTTGCTCCGTCGCTGGCGGACTTGCAGTAGGAAAGGTAAAAAACAAACAAACAAACAAACATCCATTTAAATTTCTCATTTAATTGGGTTGTATAGATTTTGTAACTTTCAATTAAATCTGCCGTGGAAGATTGGACAAGACGTACTTACAATCAAAGCTGATTGTCAACGCTGTGGGTTGGATTCATCAAGACGTGGACAGACCTAGCCACCACTGCACCTTCCAAATTCAATCATTGATTGCAGTTCTCTGATCGAACGTTTTGGTTCACCTGCACCTGTGTCTTGCGTTATAATCTTATCAGTTCTCTGTCTGTCTGCCCAGGAAGGCCCGATGATCCACTCTGGGGCTGTGGTAGCTGCAGGCATCTCACAGGGCAGAAGCACGTCACTAAAGAAAGATTTTAAGGTTTGAAAAAGCCGTCTTTGTGTCAGCTAGCTTCCTAACTTGTGAACGGTTTTGTTCCAGTGCACAGAGGGGGGTCACATGGAACCCCTTCCTTTTAACATGCTTCCAAGGGTATTTGCCCAGCAGGCCTATGAAATAATGGCTCGCTTTGCTTTTCAGATCTTTGAGTATTTCCGCCGAGACACAGAGAAGAGGGATTTTGTGTCGGCAGGAGCCGCCGCCGGAGTCTCGGCTGCGTTCGGGGCTCCTGTAGGTAAGAGCCAAAGACCCGTGTCGACACAGGGCTGCAGCTGCCCGAGTCTATCTGTCTTGTCAGAGCTGGTGCGATTTCAGTCCTTTCCCGCTCAGTTCAAGGGCCCTGACAGACAGGAATTCCAGCAGCGCAGTACCACAGAGACTTAACCGGGAAATGTTTTTCAAAGCGCTCTTGATCTCTTGCCCCTCACAGCATGAGATATTCATACTTCCTCTGGAGTGGGAATCAGTCTGGTCAGAATTCGTTTACTTTGGGGATTTTTGGACTCAAAAACTTTGAGTTTTATGAATCAAAGCACTATCTTCATTTGATAATGAGTTGCAGAGTATTGGCAAAACGGATTTGACCTTTTTTTCCTCGTTGTCAGGAGTGTCCAGGTGTACTGCCCGTTCTGAAGATGTGTACGAGGTGGTTGTACCTCTGGGCTGTTAGAAACCCCTGGTAGAAAGGCAGTAGCATCACTGCGCTCTCGGTGGCCTTGAGGTGAACCTCTGTTTTTCAGGTGGGGTCCTTTTCAGCTTGGAGGAAGGGGCCTCTTTCTGGAATCAGATGCTGACCTGGAGGATTGTGAGTACCCGGATACACGAGGGACAAAAACAGGCTCTTTGAGATCACGTCTCAGTGTCGATTATTTCCTCAGTCTTGCAGACGTTCTCTGAAACGCTTTTAAAAGGACCTATGACCAACGTTGTTTTTTCATCTGGTTTTAAAGTGAAACCCCTTAGAAAGCCATTTGCAGGAACGACTTGGCCCACATCTGCAATGTGAGCCTGAGGATTAAAATGGAAAAGCCTGGGACAGTGGGGTGCCTGTGTGCTTGTCGTCCAGTTGTTTGATACACTTTGGTGTTGTCTGTGCTTCCCATTAGCTAGAATCTGCTGCTGATTGCATTAAACTGGTTTTAATAGAACCCTCTGTTTTTAGTTCTTCGCGTCCATGATTTCTACTTTTACACTGAACTTTGTGTTGAGCATCTACCACGGTAAAATAGGGGATCTCTCCAGCCCTGGTCTCATCAACTTTGGCCGTTTTGAAAGTGAGGTAAGTGATCTGAAGGCCGTCTGAGGATGAGAAACATGTGCAATGATAGTTATTTGAGCTGTAGGACTTGAGTTCTCCGTTAGTTAGAAGATCAGGACACGTCTCTTCAGGGGAATGGTTCTGCTGATTTAGGACAGCAAGGGATTTCGTAGTTCAAATGTTCACTTATAAGATATGTGATATGTGAAAATATAAGATATGCTGTATTTTTGTAGTTATAAGTTTGGAGCTTAGTATTAGTCTGTTGCTATCAACCGGATCAAATTTCTCTCCTTAAGAAAAGCAAACACTTTTAGCCTGGCCTGTTTTGGCAGGGCTGTTTTGTGTTGCACTGAGATTTATTATTTAAAATGCGTTTTAAAATGGTAAATCTGTCTGAAACGGGCCACTTCTTTCAGCCTTGCGGTGCTTATCTTTTAACTCCTAATCTGGATCTTGAAGCCTACATTCTTTATTTCTTAGCAACAATGTAAGAAGCATTGTGTATTGTAACCAACTAAGAGACTGCTGGCAGCCCTCTGGTGTCCTAGTTAGAAGGGAGTACAGTTTGCAGTTATTTTTAATGAGCCTTTTTAGTAAAGGAAATTTCAAGCAGAAGTTATTGTTGTCTCGTATCTAAGCATAATGACCTTCAATATCGGGTTACAGGACAGGATTAATTAATTCCCTGTCATATTAGACAGAGAATTGGAGAATTGGACTCTTGCACATCTTAGTTTCTGTCTCTGGAACAGCCGTCAGGTGCGATGTGACATGGGTTTAGAAAGAAACCAGACGTTGAACATGGAGCACTGCCAGGCCTCTAATAGCGTTTTCTCTTTTGCAGAGCGTGGAGTACTATTTGTACGAGATCCCCATCTTCATGCTCATGGGCGCAATAGGTGAGCAAGTTGTCCTTGGTTTCCACAGGTATGCTCAGCTGCTGGAGCTGCCTGCTTCACAGCAGTCTGAATCGTACTCGTTTGCCCCCCCCCTTGAAACTGTTCGTGTGCTTTAATTTGTGTGATTATATGAATATTTAACCATTTCTTACTTTAAAAAAAATGCGTGTGACTTCACGTGTCAAGGAGTTTATTTTTACTTTCTGTTTCAGGAGGTATTCTGGGAGCGCTCTTTAATTCCTGTAACTACTGGCTGACAATTTTCCGAATCCGGTACGGCGTGCCAGTGTTTTGTCACTTTGTTTCGTCGAAATTCTTTACCTCGCAGTTTTATGCTCTTCCTTCGTAGCCAAGTGACATTTGAGTGTGCAGCTGCAGCTGACTGCTGACAGAAGGGCTGTCGTCCTCCCTCTCTGTGTCACACGGAAGAGAGCAGAACACAAAAACCCATCTGTGCGGCGATTTGTTTATTGCCACAATGCATTTTGTCGCTATGTCTGTGTTTGGGGTCCTCAATGCTTGGTAGTAAAACACCAGCAGTAGAAGCTGTGTCTGTCATCTCAAAAGAGAGGAGCACATGAAGAGTAATACCTTTGGCTGGAAATCAGTCGA